GTCCATAAAGGAGGAAGTAAATTTGATATTTCTAACTATAGGCAAACTGCTAAAATCAGCAACATAGCTAAATTGTTCGAAAGAATAACTTTCAAAAAATTATCTTTTTTAATAAGGTCTTATATCGAACCTAATTAACATGCCTTCATACCCAGTCGATCAACGACGACCAACTTGGCTATTTTTACGAATACATGTACGAATACATGCATTTGAGGATAATTCACAGATGGACACGATTTACACAGATTTTGCCAAAGCTTTTGAAAAGGTTTGTCACTCTGCCCTTAGGGGTAAAATTTCCGAAAAAATGGAAAAAATCTATTATCATTATGATACCGAAGCCCGGAAAAGACCACACAATTCCGTCATCCTAAAGACCAATTAGTTTATTATCGTGTCTGTCTAAGCTGTTCCATAACACCATATCTAGGAGCACACAATGTTATCCCTGTTCATCAATTTGGATTTCGTCAAAACCATGGAACAATCGAACAAGTTAACAGAATAACATCAGAAATACGCACAGCCTTTGAGCATCGGGAATACTGCAGCGCAATATTCCTCGATGTATCTCAAGCCTTCGATCGAGTATGGCTAGATGGCCTCATGCACAAAATCAAAACACACTTACCTGATTACACTCACAAGCTTCTTGAGTCGTATCTATACAACAGGACCTTCGCAGTAAGGTGCAATACAACAACATCCGACGACTACATTATCAAAGCTGGAGTCCCGCAAGGAAGCGCGCTAGGGCCTACTCTGTTCCTCCTATACACAGCGGATATTCCCACGAACGAGCAGCTAACAACATCTACGTTCGCTGACGACACCGCAATTTTAAGTCGCTCGAGGTGCCCAGGCCGAGCCACAACACAGCTAGCAAACCACCTCCTCGTAGTAGAGAGGTGGCTATCTGATTGGCGGATTAAAATAAATGAACAAAAATGTAAACACATAACGGTTCCTCTCAACAGGCAAACATGCCCTCCACTATTATTGAATAATACGCAGATTCCCCAAGTCAACGATATAACGTATCTCGGCGTCCACCTTGACAGACGACTAACCTGGAGAAGACACATCGAACGCAAGGAAGTACATCTAAAACTAAAGGCCTCAGCTTCCACTGGATTCTTAACGCTCGTTCGCCCCTGCGTCTGGACTACAAGGTTTTGCTCTACAACTCCACTCTCAAGCCTATCTGGACATATGGCTCCCAGCTATAGGGGAACGCCACCAGAAGCAACATAGACATTATACAGCGCGTTCAATCGATAATCCTGCGAACTATCACTGGGGCACCATGGTATATTCGCAACCAAAACATCCACAAGGACCTAAGCATTCTTACCGTAAAAGATGAAATAGACAAACAAAAAGCGTCCTACAACGAAAAACTCTCTGTGCACCCCAATCGCCTCGCAAGAGGCATGACTTGGGTTTCCAGCCGATCCCGTCTACAACGCAACGACCTGCCAAGCCAGCTATAACTTTCGGGCCCCTTTAGCACAACATCAGTCATATGACTGTGAGTTAGATTAATTAGTCTAAGATTTGATACACTTATTGTTAGTATCCAAAGGGGGAAGATTCAATAAATAACAAGGAAGAACGCTATAGTCGAGTACCTCGACTATCAGATACCCGTTACTCTGCTAAATAGAGATATGCAAGTAGCAAAGCGAGATTAAAATGCGCCACCTACCGGCGGTATACAGATTTAAGCGTTATGGGAGTTAGAGTGGGCGTGGCAAATTTTTTTTGGACCAATCGATAGTTATTGTCGACACCAATACATTTCAGTTAAAATTTTTTGTCTAGCATAAAAGTTGTGGGCGTCACAGGTTTTCGCGGTTTGTGGGCGTTAGAGTGGGCGTGGCATATTCGCGTAAAAAACTTGCGCTGCGTATAAGGCTACGGAATCTATATCTGAAATCCCAATTCTCTATCTTTGATAGTTTCCGAGATATCCACGTTCATATTTACGATTTTTTGAAGTTTGTGGGCGGTTTATGGGCGTTACGGTGGGCGTGGCAAACATTTCAGTTAAAATTTTTGTTCTAGCATCAAAACTGTAGGAGCCACAGTTTTGGGCGGTTTGTGGGCGTTAGAGTGGGCGTGGCACTCTACTGAAACAAACTTGCGCTGCGTAAGAAGCTCAGGAATCTGCACGTCAAATCTCAATAGCCTAGCTCCCATAGTTTCCGAGATCTCAGCGTTCATCCGGACAGACAGACGGACAGACGGACATGGCTAGATCGACTCGGCTAGTGATCCTGATCATTTACCTTAGGGTCGGAAACGCTTCCTTCTGCCTGTTACATACTTTCCGACGAATCTAGTATACCCTTTTACTCTACGAGTAACGGGTATAAAAAGCAAAGCATTTAAAAAAAAAAAAAAATGTTCATGATCGCGAAATTTTCATGAAATTTTAACCCATTAAAATTAGTTAACATTTGGATTAAGCTGGTTAACCTGGAATTCGCGTTCAATAGCGTAAGGGGGCGGGGGCCATTTATATGCAAGTGGTCTTGGAATCCATATTATCCTACTACTAACATAGTAATACAGACCTTGTTTTTACCAAGAATTCAAAGCAGAATTTCTGGAACCATATCATTTTAACCTTTTTTGACTCTAGCAAGGGCCATATATTTTACGAGGGTTGCTAAGTATTAATAGTTCTGGCCTAATAACGAAAATGCAAATATTTATCATGAAAAATGGATTTATTGTATTTCAAAGTATTATTCAACAAGATTTATACTCTTTTGAATTCTCTTAAACCAATTGTCGAAACACTTTATCCACTGTAACGAACTGATGTTGTTTGTCAGCTAGCTACGAGATTCGTGCAGCCAGCTCAGTAGATTGTGTGTTTGTCCAAATTTATATTCTTGTCGCGCCTTGGAATCGCAGAGAGATCGGGCTTGCGGGCTAAGGGAACCGTCACCGTTCTCAGACTAGGGTGAACAGGTGCCTCGCTCTCTAGGGCAACGCCTTTCGAGACAATGATCGCCTCTCCCTTGTTCTGTCCCGGACGGTCGAACTTTTGCTCAGTTTGCGCCGACAGTCAAGGCTAAGGGCAGGAGCTGCCTAGCAGTTCACTTCGCGTTCGCATGCGCTAGGCGTTAAGCGAACGCCTCACCCTATTGCTTGACGTCCGGGTCGTTCCTGCGCTCCTCAATGAGTTCTCTGCGGCGATCTTGAAGTGGCTGCCGGCGATGTCTACTGATGTCGCTACCGATAAGCCTCCCGTGGCATTTGCCAGGCAGGCGTGCCGTCCCGCTGCTGAGATGTGGCACTTTTCTCCTGGTCCAAGGTCCCCGACAGAGTCCAAGGTCCGGTGCGTTCCGTTATTTCCTTTTGCACACCATTCTCCTTCTGCCATCGAAGTCTCCACTCTCTTTCTCTCTCTCTCTCCAACCTCTAGTTCTCTCTCTCCGACCTCTAGTTCTCCAACTCTCTTTCTCCAAACTGTCTTTCTCCAAATTCTATTTCTCCAAAGTCTCATCTTCGCCATGACGATACTACGCGCTAATTCGCCGCGTATGTGGTAACCGGCAGACCACCATGTATAATTGCCGCTGCAATTTGTGGTGAGTTATACAACTCCTCACTCCACTTTGATTGAGTCACCTCCAAAAAAGAAGCCATTGGGTGCCAAGTCAGGACTGTACGCAGATTACCCATAAATTCGACGTGTTGACTGGTCATAAAGGCGCTAGTTAAGCTGATGAGTGAGAGCTCGCATTGTCACAATGATCCGAATTCTCTTATTCGTTTTTTCGACTATCTCCGAAGACTTTTGGCAAACAAATTGTAGTGTACCACTCAGAGTTGACCGTCCGCAGTTGCTTAAGCGGATCAGTCAATACATGACAAAACCGAAGGATCAGATGAGCATTTGCCTCGAAGTACTTCTTCCACGAAAAACTTTCGTTAGATTTGGTTCGTCTTCGAAGACCCACTCGGTCTATTGCAGTTTTGTTTCGGGCTCATAAGCATAGATCCAGGTTCTGCCAACGCCGCGATCGATTTTTCCAAAACTTCTTCGAACCAATCCACGAGCCCATTTTTGAGCGATTGTCATGTTGTGCGGGTCCCAACGAGAACAAACCTTTTTTAGGGCGAGGTGTTCTTGCGATATCGATTGTACATATGCTGATGGAAGAAATGGCCAAATATGCCTCTATCTCACGTTATGTCACATAACGATCTTGCATTATCAGTTCAAGCACAGCACCAATGTTCTCTGACACAAGGAATGTTTCGTCGGCCACGATTGAATTCGAGGTCAAACTTGGTCACTCGACAAACCGTTGTATGGAGCTTTTATCGATAAAAGTCCAAACCATTTTCGGGAAAAGGCCAATAGGTCCTAATATAGCTAGAAGTGACCTAGGTCAGAAACTTAATTAACAGCCCTCGTGTATACATAACATTTAAATAGTGGATGTGGATTAATTCCCTGTCGAATGATGTGCCTTATGTGCATCACCGTTTTCTTGGCCCACATAAAAAATTTTATTTATTTCACTTTTTGGCCGAAGGCGCCACTGTGAGACGCCTTACACTCACTAAATTGTTGAAAAATTGCATTCTTTCAAAGATAGCCGATTTGTACCTCACAATAAACTGAAGTTAGCCACCATATTTGCATAATTGGAGGGCGAAACTATAGTTGTAAATTGTAATAACAAATATTCTTTAAGAATTATTTAAAAAAAAACTTTTTCATAAAAAAGTTGTTGACATCCTTTTTTGATCTTCTTCTATACCCTCCGAAAGCAATATCTTTTTTTTTGTCTACGAATAACAGGTAAAACTTGTGATATTATTACTTGTTATTGTAAGTCTACAACATATATATAGATCTAGTATCGTCTTATGCATTACTAACTATTTATTTATTCAAACTTTATGTAAGTAAATTGATCATGCGTTCATGTAATTTTTGTTTTTTATTTTTCCTATATTCTCTCATTTAGAACACAATTAAAATTGCCGAAATCAAATCCCAGAACGATCAATTGGAATGTCAAAAGCTCGAGGAGAAAGCGCGCATTTATGAGAACAAATTGTTTGCCGCCGAGCAAAACCGTGAAAAGGAATTACAAAAAAAAATTGAAAAAGTTCAAAAACTCGTAGGTTTTCCAAAAAAAAGATTATTTGCCTTATTTTTGAGTACCTTTGTCAGTAGTTTTTTCATTAGTTGAAATACGCTTCGACTAATCTTTAATCGTGTTATTTCAATTTCAGGAGCGTCGTGCCGAGCTAGTGCGCCAGAACAAGGCTCAGGCCCATTATTTAGATGGTCGGCAGAGCCCCATTGCCTCATCTGGCTAGAGAAGCTGACCAAGAATCGAGAGCAGTGCTCACTCACTGCACACAAGGCGATTAAGAAAACAACTGCACTACATAATACACCAACACATCTTTAAGCTACAAACCCTTTAAGCTAAATAAAATTCTTTAAAATGTTCAGGTACAAGCAAACGAAAAGGCAAGAGGATAATCTCAATATACCGCTGAGCGAATTGAGCCGGATAACATCAATACAGTTATTTTCAAGCACTTCAACGGAACTCTAACACGGGAGAGCTAAGACAAGGCCTAACAAATTTATGCTTACGGCAAATAAATTCAAAATAACTAGTAATGGAAATCTAACCTTAACCTAAAAATCCGAGGCAGAAGAGCCTAATAAAATTGAAAGCTTGTCATTTAAAACTAATTTAAAGTATATTGAAATTTTTTGTATTTTGAAGTTTAGAACTTTTTACATCGATTTTATAAAAGTGTATTAATTTTGGGTTCAAAAATATGTCAATCTAAGTCTGTCTGTTTTTTATTGTTAATTAGCTGGGACTGGGAATAATAATAAAACTCCTCAAGTTCATCTTAGAATGTCTTTCTCGGAACTAATTTTACTAATGATTTTATAATTTTTTTAATTCATTAAAACATTTCAGTTAGACTATGAAGACTATTCAGTTATTACATTAAAGATGCAATTCAATAACAGCTACAATTCAATTAAAATCCAATACCATGTAAGACACACGATATTAAGTATGGTTTTATTTAAATACACAAACATCTTAAATCCATATAGACCTTAATCAGGGGTGTCACGGAAACCGGTGACGGATTTGGGGACGGTTGGTTTGGAAACCAACCCATCAAAACCGTAGGTGTCACAGAAATACAAGAAACTTCCTTTTTTTCGAAAAAACTACCGAAAAATTACCAGGGCTGGATACATATACACAATATCGAATATTGAATAATTAATGAATTTTATTTAACTTACTTTGACCATTTTCCAATAAGTTTTAAACTTAATTTATGCTTTTTTTGCAAAATTACAAAAAGAATACTTGTTTGAAGCGTATGTTGTACAAAATAAAAGAAAAAAAATGAAAAGATTGAATTACCCGCCAGGGTACAACTGCAACCATGAACAGCTGCTTGCTTACACTTGCAAATTGACACAAAGTTTAAAAGCAAACCAAAATTACATCTTTACGAATTCTTGCTCTAGAGTACTTGCGAAGACAAATACTTCGAGAGGCTAGGATGCAGAATATGGCGCCTTGAGCTGCTGAGCTATGTTTATGGCAACGTTTACTAGTTTGAATTAATAATAAACAAAAACTGTTTACTTTAACTTACATGTTTTCTACTTCTTCATAGGCGCCATTTTATCCGGCAAAAAATAAAAAATTGCAAAGGCGGGTTGTTTTTATAATTTTTCTCAATAGCTACAACTCTTTTTAACATGAAATCTTTATCAGAAATAGATTATATTTTTTACTACAACACTACCGTACTATAAAAAATTCGTTAACAACATTTCGACAACTAATCCGAAATTGGGTATTTTAAAGTTCGAGCAAATTGGTACCACTGTCAGGCAGGACGGTTTTTACTTAGTTAACTTTTCAAGACGGTTTATAAAATGCTTATTTTTAAATATAACCCGAAGTAAATATAAAAATTGTAGTATGCAGAGAGTTCAAAGATCTCATTAGTGTTGTCTTATATAAAGTTTTATTCTTGGCAAGCATTTGTTAGTCGGTTTATTTTATCAAAACGTCTGTCAAAATACGGGGGACTTAGAAACCGTCAAAACAGTCTGTGACACGGACACTTGCTTTTCGTGGGAAATTTTGATGAAAAGGATTTCTGTGACACCCCCGAATATAAAAGTAGAAAACTATATATATAAAATTTCATTCATCAATGAGTGAACAATTTTGTGCGCATGCTTGTTTTGTCTAATGGTGTGTTTAGACTAACTGCTAGCATCCTTGTCGAATACTCAAAAATCATGCGAAGCGCTTACACTACAAATACGGCTTTTTAACATTCGATAAATGGTAAAATAGAATAAAATAGAAAGGATTGATTTAAATGTAAGTTTTCTATAAAATGAAACATTCGACTTCGTAGAAAAATCCGCATTTCTAGTGTAACGCCCCGCATGATTTTTGAATGTTCGACAAAGATACTAGTACTCTAAATATGGGGGCTAGAATGGAAGCTATATTAAAAAAAGAATTAATGGCAATCCAAATAAAACTTTTTTCCAAAATCTGCAGGTTTTTATTTTTATTTTGCACCAAAGAAGGCTTAAATGAATAGCTTAAATTAAAATCTTATACAGCTATATATGTGTAATACTTGTGTAACACTATTGCTTCTATAAATAAATAACAGTGACATAAATCTGATATTAAGAAGTGCATTGGCAAAACAACTACTACACGCATATGGAATCTATCAAACATACCAAGAAAAGTGAACAAAAAAATTAACAAAAAGCATCAGTAAAATTGAGAAAAATGCTTTCACAATTACTTTATTTATGTATGTCTAACCAAACGCAATATTCAGAAGAAAACACAATAAAGTATCGTTCAAATTTTTGAAATATTCTGAACTTATGCCTGAAACACGATAGCATAGAAAACAATTTTTCTAGGTACACGCTTAAATTAAGTTCATATAAGCCACAAATTACTGACCACATGCCAGCAAAAATACTTATTACAATTGTATAATAAAAGTGAATAAAGCAAATAAATAAAATATTTATAATTGTTGGATGTTTTTCCATTTATATTGCAAATTTAAATTAATGAACCATACCATACACAGGCGCCACGCGAGGCAAGTTTTGTCATTTAGGCCTAGTGCTGACTTCGACTGTATCGCGTTAATTTTTCAGGGTCCACATATTTCTTGGGTCCTGATAAGAAGGCATCGGATTATATGTTTTTCTGCAATTTTGCTTACAATACCGCCAAATTATGGATATAGGGACTAAGTTAGGTTTGCATTCGAATAAAAACGATATATCGAAAATATGGATTTTTTGTATGCAAGGGGATATACAAAATATGTCAAGAATATGCCAAAATAGACAAAAAATGTCGAGCTTTATGGCTAAAATATCGCAATTGTCTTTCTGTAGTTGACAGAGAAAGTATACTCTAAGATAGCTACAATCGGGCCACTATGTGAAGGTAATTTGACCCAAAAGCCCTATTTCAGTTTCCGTACATTTTTATTTAACTGCTGCTTATGTCTAGAATATAAAAAGTAGGATGGAGAAATATATTTTTGAAAATTGTAATTGCCACAGCATAAACGGACCCACAGGGGGAATAGTAGGAGTTCAATTTAACTTATAAATTTAAAATAGTAAGCAACATACATCAACAATCTGGGAATCTAAGTCAAAATAAATAGTACACATTTTCAATATGACTACTGTTAGAGTTATATTTGTATTTTTGTTTGCAATATGTGACCAATTTTTTTCCATACTTTCCCCAGTCAATTTTGTTCACTTGTCGGTAAGTAAATGTTAAAATGCCGAAAAGCATTGTATTTGTTGTATTTGTAGATTTTTGCTTGTTGTAAGCCCGTCAATATGTTCCCTGTACACTGTTAATTTAATCATTAAATTTTTTTATTGTCTTAATTTCAAGTTTCAGACGCAAAGCGGTTTCCGGCCTAACAATGAAAATCTGAAAATAACGAAATCATCTCTACTCTTGTAGCTCACAATATACTCAATGTAGCCTATCATTTATATGGGAAAATGAAAGGGTGGCATTCTAGCTCTACACTAAAACATATATAACCTGTATGGGTAAAACGCAACTCGAGATATAAGTAAAAACACAGATATACCAAAAAAAGTTCTTAGGAAAATTTAAAAAGAACGTGTCCAGAAAATATTTTTTTTATTTAAAGGTCCAACTCTACCAGGAACTTCTTCTTGGAGCATTTTTAAAGTGTTTCAAAGTGGCTTTTTCAAAAAGTGTTAAAGCTAGGGTTTCTTGTATCGCTATTGAAAACCATTAAAGAATGAAAAACAAAACAACACTTTCAATTTATACAGTCCTCTAAAATCTTGGTTTTAAAGTAACTTTTAAAAGGAGCATCGCTTTACGTCAATTTTTCATTCGATGAGTATTTGTCCCAAAAATACAACTAGGCTATTAAACTTCTTACTTAATCATACCATCCCCAACAGCTTTAATTTTATACATTTTCCTCATACACTTTCAGCACTCTTTCCCCCAATTCATTGGATATTTTTAAAGTCTTGAAATGCAATCCTTCAAGTTTTCGGATGTCTTTCGATTGGTGTAGACCTCGTTATGGTCGTACCATCAAACCAGATTTTTAACTCTGCGGCTATATGTTCGCGCTTCGTCACAAAATGAACTTAAATTTACACTAAGAGAAAATCTTTAAAAATTGTAAGGTTGTTCTATGGTTGGCTGTCAAGCAAGGATCACTTTACAGCAAAATGTATAAAGTTTGGGGTGTCAGCCACTGCTTTTATTCACATGTATTATTTCAGAAAACACAACATATTTGTCGCTGAGGCCTAGGTCGAGACTCGCTGCGTCTTAAAATCTATAAGTATATCATTCACTCGCCTTGCTGCTGGCAAGGTTCCCTGGAGTCGGCCAAAATGTTGGCCAGTGCTCGCTACGGCACAGGTGCCAATAAGTTGCCCTGATGACGGCAATTTCTTATTGCAGTCGACGTGTGCCGCCCTAAGCAACCCAGTACAAAGGGTGGTATAGATTGCCAATTCTAGAAGTCTCACAACTCTTTAATTTTTCGTTTCATAGTTTCCTTCTTTTCAGAATTTATTCACATGTTTCAGTAGTTTTCATGGGCGATGTAACCTAACTGCTAACTTGGAGCCGCATGGTGATCCGGAAAACTTACAAGCACGTGCGCATGGCCGAAAGTTGCCGGGCTGGAGCTTTTCCGCTGGCCTCTCGGTTTTTTTCTTTTCTCCCTTCCTTTCTTTTGGACCCTTTTAAATTGACCGACCCGATTCCACACACTCACTCTTGTTCTCGTTTTTTGTCCTTGTCTCTGGTTTCTCCTTGGGCTTCCTTTTTCCTCGTCTGGGTAGTACTGGGTCGGGAAATTCTGGGTTTGCTGGCTCTGGTCCTGGGTCTTGGGTTTTTCCCGAGTCAATAGACCTTAGTTTCACTTCACGGCTCGCTCTATCTTGTCTTCTGCTCCTGGCTTGTTTTTCTGGCCTTCGTGTAAAGCGTCTGTATCACTATGTTGGTCTATGCTTATTACATGGTTATTATAGGGTTTTTGAATAATTGTTATACACTTAAGTACGTTGTTAGGAACGCTTCCTCACACTCCCTCTCTACTTCAGGGAGAGTTGTGAAATCGTAATCTCCTCCCATTTGTTAATGTGGAGGTCCACTCCGCTGGACCCGGACTAGAAACTTACGGCCCGCCCGTCGACCTGTCCGCTTCTGGGGGTGACATGATCTACCGAGGTATGGGGGAACCCGTTCTTACAGCAGCAAAGGTGTTCCGGGATCGCCTACCGATAGTGGTACTCCGGGTTCCTCCATTTCGAGGGTTAGGATGGCCAGCGCCGCGTGACTGGTGGCTGGGGTTGTGGCGTTCGCGACTCCTACGTCGCACTCCATCAAGATCAGTCAGTTATCAAAGTCAACGAACGTGTCAAACAGCAGCAAGTAAGCAACCACAAGTCAAGTCGTCGAAAGCAGCGCCGTGGGAAGCCTACAAGAAGCCAAATCGATACGCCGAGACGTTCGGGATTGGGACATCAGGAATCTCCGATTTGAGACACATATAGCTCAGGTCCTGCGGCAGAGCATTAGAGTCCTTCGACGAGTAACCATGAGCTCGGGGGAAAGTTGTCTATACCCAGTGTGCCTTGGCCAATTGAGCAGCTCCTGGCGCTAAGGACGATCGGTCGATCGATTTGTGGTTCCAAGAGGGTTTGTCCCAGGGAGAGCCCAGCGGTTACCGTCGAAGTTCCAGAACAGCATCTGAGTAAAACCTCGAGTGCCAGAAAACCGCATTACCAGCCAGGAAGGACAAGCAGTCGACCTGTTGAGGCATTTAAGAGGCGTTGTCCTGGAGAAGCCCAACTGGTTAGCAAATCCCTGAACGGCGATCGTCCAAGACCTTAAGAGCCAGAGACCGCGATACATCCAGCCTCTCAGCAACCACGATACGGAGCAGAGCAGGGAACATCGGCAGCGACATACTATGCTGTGGGTGCTACTGAGCGCCTGGTACTGTTCCCAACTTGGCTACTGCATGATTTGTTGGGTGTGGTCATGTTGAGCACCTTTGGGTACGAACAACGAGCGTCAACCGAGACCAACCGAGCCACCACCCTGCTGTAATAAGTAATTCCAGAATATACCCACATTAAATCTTTGATTTCTGTGCTTTCTAACTGATCTACGGGGCAATCACGTCATATAAATTTGGTGGGACGAACACAGAATCTACTGAGCTAGCCGCACGAATTTCGTAGCAAGCATACCAACAAAATCAGTTCGTTAAATTTGGCGCCCAATGTTATTGTCCCAACAGTGAAACCAACAAAAATAGAATGAGAAAGAAGTGGATTTACCGCCTCAAGCAGCAGGACTTTGCCCAAGTCGTACAGAAGCTCAATATCGCCCAGGATGGCAGATTGGACGACATGAGGCATTGTCAGAATACTATTCATACAGAACTATCGTCGAGCAAGAAGCAGCATACCACGACCGAGCGGGCTCGAGCATCACTTTATCAAACGCCGAGAAGGACAGCCTAGTAGCAAGTCTGAACTTTGACAATCTGGAGAGAGGAGAGAGTTAAGCCAGGATAAAAAAACAGCAGCGCTGACCTCAAAACCCAGCCAGACAGACTATCCAAATGTCGCTAAACATGTCCGCGAGTGGTCGTTCAGGTTCGACTGTGCGGAAAAACCATTACAATTCCTGGAGGAAGTAGAATGGTCGCCTAACACATACATGATATATGATTCCCCGAGCGATGCCGGAATTGCTTAAGGAAAGGGCTGTGAAGTGGTTTACTCCCAACAACAAGCAATAGAGGACCTGGGCAGAGGGCCTAGAAAGCTTCCATAACTATTTTGTGCCCAGAGACCTTATTACAAGGTTAGCGGACCAAGTCAGCGAGTCGTTCAAGGACTACATAATCGACATAAAGCCGAATGTAAGGATCTTCCTAGATATGTACAAGGTGTACCTGGACACGCTGATGATTTAAGCCGACGAGTACGAGGAACTGGAAAAAAAGAGCGTTCGCACAGGAGAACAAGTTCTCTAGCAACAAGTCGGCGGCCCCAACTCAAGCCACGTGCAGATGCTGTAAGGAAACCGGCAACCAAAAACAACGCGGAAATGACAAATGGTCGCCACCGCAATAAGGCCAACGGCAGCAGACCGTCGATAATTCAAAACTCAAGCGAAGCGCTTACACTAAAAATGCTGCTTTTAAACATTTGACAAGTGATAAAATAAAATACAAAGAATGAATTGATTTAAATGAGGGTTTTCTTTCAATCGACTTCGTAGAAAAATCCGCATCTGTAGGCGCCCCGCATGATTTTTGAATATTCGACAAAGGTGATAGTACCCTAAACACTTAAGATTAATTTTGCACCAAAGGGTGCTTACATGAATAGCTTGAATTAAAATCTTATACAACTATATATGTGTAATAGTAATATAAATAAATAAAAGTGACATAAGTGCATTGG